AGTCGAAATCTTGTTTATTATCAACAAAATTCACTATATTTGTAAATCTATTTCGTTTAATATCTTATATAAACAAAAATCAATAACTTCTAAATAAAACTAATCGATTGCGATATTTTATGACTAAAGGGTCGATTGTGTTTACTTATGGTCAATCTCTAGCCTAGACCACCGCCCCCCGTACGTCGCCTCATGCCACCATTTTGTTCCTTAAAAAAGCTATTGCGCAACCTTCTGCGCGAAGGTCGGACTCGCCAAGATACGTCGGCCGTATTGTAATATTTGTTATGAAGTACAACTAGTTTTTAAGTGATTAAGAATGGTACACACCATCATGAACACCTTGAATATTCCGCCTACGAATTGTATCTTCCCTAAGTCTTCTTATTGCTGTTCGAAGTGTGGACCCTTGATCACAAACAAGACCTAAAGGTATTAACCCAGTTAGTATTACTTGGGACACAATCTCTTTTAAAATGCATTGCAGCTCTGTTGCTAATACTGTGCCTTCACAGAAATACAATGCTACACTCCATGGAGAGCAAAACTAAAGCGTGATCATAATATTTCAGTTTTTCTCCAGCTTTATCTACAAACCCTTAAAAAATAAAAAAGTTATTTGTGTTTCACATCAGCTGGTCTTATTTGGGCCACCCGTTAGCTTGCTACAGAAGCGCTTCACAAGTCCACTGCTGAACGTAGGCCTCCCCCAAAAAATGCCACAAAGCACGGTCCTAAGCCACCTGCATATCCAGGTCGTCACTTCATCAACATTTTGTTTACGTAAACATGTTTTTCTTAACCTAAAACTTTTATACTTTCTTTAAGACCAATTTTTGGGTCCATCCATTTTAGACACATATTTTTCGTCAATATCACCCTTCAATATTTTTTTATTTATGTTGCAACAATTGTGTCCATGTAATGTAACTAAAATATTAATGAAAAAGTTTTTGACAATTAAGGCACGCTTATCACACCCCAGCCAGGAAAAACTCAAAGTGCTCAATATTTTCTTTTCAAATGACTTTTTATATTACTTCCAATACAGCTATAATTCCAATAGTTATGAATAAAGTGAGTACCATCCCTGTACAAGATAAGAAATTTTTCGTTAGTGTATGCCAAATTATTTTTTTTAGCAATTTATACTCTCTAAATTTAATGTAAGAGTGAATGTTTGTCTCTGTACTGCTAATATTATATGTTTTGATGCAATCCTAACAACGAATAGGTTTCGTTTTTCTCTTGAAAATATTCTCAATTCTTCTCTTGCACTTGCTTGTGAAGAAGATAGGAGATCTCGCAAAACATTGGTAATGTTTTACAAGTCATATTCTTTATTATTTTGATCGTTTTAACGAAAAGAACACTAACATTTAATAATGTTTCTCCATTATCTACTTCACAATTAGAGAATTTGGACTGTGGACTAAGCATGTTAGATAATATCAAAGATTTAAAGGCATATATAAATGTGTTTGCATCTGGATTAACATTTCTACATTTTATAGCTCCTATACGTCCAAAAAATTTTCTAATGGGTCTTGGTTAAAATTCCTCGGATAATAATATTCTACATTACTATCCAAATAATAATTTGGAGACCCTTATAAAACTTTCAAGAGTTTTAATCCATCCTTGTTGGGATGCCACTCGCACAAGTCGAGGTTTTCCTGCTTTTGTACCATGTTTGCTACTGGTGTCTACAAAATTCGTATTTTTTATTTTATTAATAGCTTCAATCCAAAAAGTGTGATGTTGTGAATTTTGTTTAACTGTTAGTCTTAACTTTCCTCTTTGCACACAACTCGGGTAGCCATTGACGCTGTCAAACAGTGTGTCCAAGAATCCTCAACAAATTAACTCAACATCTTTCCAAGAGGCATTTTTTCCTTCCAAATTATATCTTTATTTAAAAATTATTCCTTAAACCCTTTAAGAGATGAGGTGGGTTAAAAATATGCTTAAATAGTGATCAGCAATATTAACTGATCCATCAGTAAAATAATTAAAATAAATAATATTTGTTATGAAGTACAACTAGTTTTTAAGTGATTAAGAATGGTACACACCATCATGAACACCTTGAATATTCCGCCTACGAATTGTATCTTCCCTAAGTCTTCTTATTGCTGTTCGAAGTGTGGACCCTTGATCACAAACAAGACCTAAAGGTATTAACCCAGTTAGTATTACTTGGGACACAATCTCTTTTAAAATGCATTGCAGCTCTGTTGCTAATACTGTGCCTTCACAGAAATACAATGCTATGGAGTGCCATGGAGAGCAAAACTAAAGCGTGATCATAATATTTCAGTTTTCTCTCTCCAGCTTTATCTACAAACCCTTAAAAAATAAAAAAGTTATTTGTGTTTCACATCAGCTGGTCTTATTTGGGCCACCCGTTAGCTTGCTACAGACCAGACATTTTTAGGGAGTAACTTGATTTGCGGAAGCGCTTCACAAGTCCACTGCTGAACGTAGGCCTCCCCCAAAAAATGCCACAAAGCACGGTCCTAAGCCACCTGCATATCCAGGTCGTCACTTCATCAACATTTTGTTTACGTAAACATGTTTTTCTTAACCTAAAACTTTTATACTTTCTTTAAGACCAATTTTTCGGTCCATCCATTTTAGACACATATTTTTCGTCAATATCACCCTTCAATATTTTTTTATTTATGTTGCAACAATTGTGTCCATGTAATGTAACTAAAATATTAATGAAAAAGTTTTTGACAATTAAGGCACGCTTATCACACCCCAGCCAGGAAAAACTCAAAGTGCTCAATATTTTCTTTTCAAATGACTTTTTATATTACTTCCAATACAGCTATAATTCCAATAGTTATGAATAAAGTGAGTACCATCCCTGTACAAGATAAGAAATTTTTCGTTAGTGTATGCCAAATTATTTTTTTTAGCAATTTATACTCTCTAAATTTAATGTAAGAGTGAATGTTTGTCTCTGTACTGCTAATATTATGTGTTTTGATGCAATCCTAACAACGAATAGGTTTCGTTTTTCTCTTGAAAATATTCTCAATTTTTCTCTTGCACTTGCTTGTGAAGAAGATAGGAGATCTCGCAAAACATTGGTAATGTTTTACAAGTCATATTCTTTATTATTTTGATCGTTTTAACGAAAAGAACACTAACATTTAATAATGTTTCTCCATTATCTTAACGTAACGCCCTTCTTTTCCGCGTCCGGCTGTAGTGTAATCACTACAGCTGCGGTCTTCGGGGCGCGGAGCCTAGCTGCGATCTTGCGCGCCCTGAACTGGCGCTGCCGCTCCTGCTCTTTGGCCTTTTTGGCTGCCTTCTTCCCCTTCTGTTTGTCCCCGACCACCTGCCAACCGGCTTCTGCCGCGGGAGGTGTAGGGAGCTGGGGGGGCGGTGACGGCGGCGGCAGCTGGCTTGCCGCTGGCGCTGGCCCATTCGCCGCAGGCACTGGGGCTGGCGCAGCCATCACCTGTGCTGCCGCCTTGCCCTTTTTCGCCTTCGCCTTGCCTCTCTTTCCCGTCGCCGGCTTAGCCGGAGCCGGTTCAGCCGGTATCGGTTTTGCCGGAGCCGGCTTTTCAGGGGGGGGGAGGGGCAACTGCAGCCCCACCCTGTAGTGCCCTTTTTTGACACATATTTAAAATAAATTCCCTTGAAAATTACTCCAGGTTGTGAAGCTCTCTTATGAAAAACTGAATTCAAATCTTTTCTTTGATGCCATTTAGGCGCAGATGTTATTTGGGAAAGTACACTCAAGTCTTCCAGATAAGTGCCAAACATTGCATGAAAAACAACCTCAGATGTTTTAAGGGGATCCGCTCCTGACCTTATCTTGAATGTAATTGATTGCTGAGCCAAGACTGAATAAAATTGTATCATTGCAGTGCCTGAAAAACTCCATTTGAAGCCATCCGATTTAATCTGCCACATGTATCACAATAACAACAAGGGGAAGTATAATTTTTGTGTGGATCTAGCAGTTGTCATTAATAGAATATCTCCTAACTCCTTTAGTATCCCAGCCACTTGTCCAGGTGTTTTGGCATCCTTCAAACAAGTAACTATCTCTTGACACATTGGTAGCATCTGTAAGCTATTTAACAAAGCGTTACTCAATTTAGTGTGATATTCCGACATTACAACCCGAGGGCTGGCTGGACGGCCCCGGCCTGGATGCGGCAGCCGTGGCCGTCGCGTAAGAGGCCGTTGCCGGCCTCGCCGCCGTCTTGTTTGCCCCTAGGGGGGGGGGGGGGGGCGCAGGACGATGCCCTCCAGCACGGAGAACCGGTGCTGGAAGGCAGCCAGCTCCTGCCGGACCAGGTTCAGAACCTGGTTCTCCACCGGCACGGGCTGGCTTGGGCGCTGCGTCTGGGGCGCCGCGCGAGAGGCAGGCTCATGTAGACTGGCCAGGTCTGCGCGGAGCTTCTCATTCTCCTTCTGGAGAGTCTCCATGGCGGACGTCAGGCGGGCCACGTCCGCCCGCAGCTTCGCCACCTCGTCTGCATTAGGCCCAGCCCCAGCAAAGTTGGCCTCCGCAGCCGCCATGATGGAGGCGGAGGCCGCTGGAATGGCCTTGAATTTCGAGGAGGACTTTTGCTTGTTGGCCACGACCTTGATCGCGGCCTCCACCGCCTTTACGAATCTGGCCTTACGCTCCACCTCGGAGCCGCCAGTCGCATCTGTTTCTTCGCCTGATTCCCATCTAGACGTATATCGTCTGGCACTCTCCTTTTCCTAGATTGCTTCATAGGACGGCCTAAAGAGCGAGCCGACGCATATTTTCGTAGATAAGTTGTAACCACAGACCTGATAAAGGCTAGGAAACCAAGATGCTCCTTCTCTTGCCCAGCTGGTGAGAGCCTGTACAACTGAAAAGCGTTATTCATTGAAGCGTTCAAGGGCCACATCAGAAGTTGCCAATACCATTTTTTTTTATGCTAATGCGGTAGCAGCCTATGTTTTGATCTAGACGATCTACTCCGCCCATATATTGATTATACATTTGAACACAAAAGGGCTGTTGAATCGAGATTTTTTTTTCTTTCAGCACTTGACCATCGCTGTGCGGATCCAACTGGAGAAACACCTTCACAGGTAGAAGCTACGGTAACAACGTTATTGTCGTTGTATCGCACTAGAGACACGCCTGATGTTTCATCGATGATTTGATCATAGCTCCCACGCTGTTTTTTCTTGATGTCAGCGATTGATTCCAAGGGCGCATTTTCGACCCTATTGGACCGTATTGTTCCTGTCCCCTGGTGACCAAAATCCATCAAAGCGATGAGCAATCTAAACGATGTAAAAAAATTGTCTATGTAAACATGAAATGGGAAATCTGTAGGCAATTTGGCCACCAAGTTCATAACGACAGATCCTCCAACACCTAAATCGAGATTAGTGTTGCCTGTGCTAGCCCCTTGATAAGGTATGGCTTGTATAAGATATCCCAGCCGTGTAGACATGCACCAGCACTTGAATCCGAAACGAATGGGTTTTCCATGAATGTGCTGTTTTGTACTATGATGGCCGTAGTACGGAATCATTGATTCGTCGATGCTAACTTCGTTATACTGAGGCCAATACTTCATCCATTTTTCGTTTAGTTTCTCCCATAAAGGTCGCACTTTTGTGAACTTGTCCTGGACATCTAAAGCTGCGTTATCAGAAACATGCATAAATCGAAGTATTTGTTCAAATCGAGATCGAGATATTGAATTAGCTACGCCAGGGTGATAGGTATCGATTCCAGTATCCCAGTACATGCGGTTCCTTGCTTGAACGTTATATCCACTTAGCAAAAGTATTGCTAAGACGAGGCGAATTTCTTCTTTGGTAACATACCTATAACTACAAAATTCGTATTTTTTATTTTATTAATAGCTTCAATCCAAAAAGTGTGATGTTGTGAATTTTGTTTAACTGTAAGTCTTAACTTTCCCCTTTGCACACCACTCGGGTAGCCATTGACGCTGTCAAACAGTGTGTCCAAGAATCCTCAACAAATTAACTCAACATCTTTCCAAGAGGCATTTTTTCCTTCCAAATTATATCTTTATTTAAAAATTATTCCTTAAACCCTTTAAGAGATGAGGTGGGTCAAAAATATGCTTAAATCGTGATCAGCAATATTAACTGATCCATCAGTAAAATAATTAAAATAAATAATATTTGTTATGAAGTACAACTAGTTTTTAAGTGATTAAGAATGGTACACACCATCATGAACACCTTAAATATTCCGCCTACGAATTGTATCTTCCCTAAGTTTTCTTATTGCTGTTCGAAGTGTGGACCCTTGATCACAAACAAGACCTAAAGGTATTAACCCAGTTAATATTACTTGGGACACAATCTCTTTTAAAATGCATTGCAGCTCTGTTGCTACTTGGGACACAATCTCTTTTAAAATGCATTGCAGCTCTGTTGCTAATACTGTGCCTTCACAGAAATACAATGCTACACTCCATGGAGAGCAAAACTAAAGCGTGATCATAATATTTCAGTTTTCTCTCTCCAGCTTTATCTACAAACCCTTAAAAAATAAAAAAGTTATTTGTGTTTCACATCAGCTGGTCTTATTTGGGCCACCCGTTAGCTTGCTACAGACCAGACATTTTTAGGGAGTAACTTGATTTGCGGAAGCGCTTCACAAGTCCACTGCTGAACGTAGGCCTCCCCCAAAAAATGCCACAAAGCGCGGTCCTAAGCCACCTGCATATCCAGGTCGTCACTTCATCAACATTTTGTTTACTTAAACATGTTTTTCTTAACCTAAAACTTTTATATTTTCTTTAAGACCAATTTTTGGGTCCATCCATTTTAGACACATATTTTTCGTCAATATCACTCTTCAATATTTTATTATTTATGTTGCACCAATTGTGTCCATGTAATGTAATTAAAATATTGATGAAAAAGTTTTTGACAATTAAGGCACGCTTATCACACCCCAGCCAGGAAAAACTCAGTGCTCAATATTTTCTTTTCAAATGACTTTTTATATTACTTCCAATACAGCTATAATTCCAATAGTTATGAATAAAGTGAGTACCATCCCTGTACAAGATAAGAAATTTTTCGTTAGTGTATGCCAAATTATTTTTTGTAGCAATTTATACTCTCTAAATTTAATGTAAGAGTGAATGTTTGTCTCTGTACTGCTAATATTATATGTTTTGATGCAATCCTAACAACGAATAGGTTTCGTTTTTCTCTTGAAAATATTCTCAATTTTTCTCTTGCACTTGCTTGTGAAGAAGATAGGAGATCTCGCAAAACATTGGTAATGTTTTACGAGTCATATTCTTTATTATTTTGATCGTTTTAACGAAAAGAACACTAACATTTAATAATGTTTCTCCATTATCCTCTTCACAATTAGAGACTTTGGACTGTGGACTAAGCATGTTAGATAATATCAAAGATTTAAAGGCATATACAACGTGTCCCAAAATTTAACGATAAGCCAACACCGGAGGATAGACCTGCCCCGGACTAATCGGGTAAAAAAAGAAAAAAAAATATATCCCAATTATATTTTAAGTTATATAAAAAAAATGAAATTCTTCAGAAATTGAGACCGTTTATGATATTTTTCACTACCATGACCACAATTTTTTAAATATTTTTTTCTTTTTTTTTATAGGCAACCTGAATAGTACTGCTATCTACCACAATTCTTAAAAACTCCAGAATAACTCTTGTTTTATCACGCAAATTAATAAAACTTATTTTATTCCCTAAATTTTTTGAAGACTTACTTTTAACCAAATTTAACTTATCGTGGTGTAAAAAAAAAGTATGAACACTAGTATGGCAAGTTTTTTTAAAAATTGACGCAACTAACCAATATTCCAAAATGGTATAATACTCTAGGAAAACAAGTTATAAAAAAATATGGGCCTATTATTTCTTAACAGGGGCCAAATGACGGTCGGGTGTAATAAAAGTATTATTTCTTGAAAAATGTTTAATATTTCAAAACAAATGGTACAAACAGTTTCACGTGTAATTTATTAAGTTATTAACATTATAGCAAATGTTCGAACTGTTTGCCACCAGCATTAATACATGCACGACATCGCCTTAAAAATGATCGTTTTATTTGTCTTGCATATCTTCTGCTATTAATGTAATCAGCAGCCTGAGTGATATTTCGACGAAGCTCGTCCAATGTCACAATGGGTTTTGAGTAGACCCTGTTTTTAAGACAACCCCAATAGAAGAAGTCCAGGGGGTTCAAATCGGGTGAACGGGGTGGCCATAAGATAGGACCAAGTCGCCCGATCCAACGCCCTGGATACTCTTGATTTAAATATTCTCGCACAGGACGGGCATAATGTGCTGGGCAACCATCATTTTGGAACCACATGTTTTGAAGATCACTTAAGGGCACGTCGTTTAACAATTCTTGCAAGTCATTTTGTAAAAAGTTTAAATAACTATTGCCATCTAAGTTTCCTTGTAACTCAAAGGGCCCAATTACTTTTCCATTTAATATGCCGGTCCATAGGTTAACCTTGAATTGATATTGGGATTTGTCTTGTCTCATCAAGTGTGGATTTTCATTACTCCAACTATGTAGATTGTGAAGATTTAAATACCCATCTTTCTTGCACGTTGTTTCATCCGACCATAGAATTTTGTCTAGGAAGTGGGGATCTTCACTGTGCCTTTGCAGCATTACACGGCAAAATGTGACCCGTAGCGGATAGTCCCGCGGTAATAACGTCTGCACACGCCTGTAGTGATATGGGTGAAGCTTGTGACGTTTTAATATTCGATGTGCAGAACTTTTCGGGATTCCTGTAGCTTCTTCTATGGCACGTACCGAAGTAGTCGAGTCATTTTCTATCTCCTTGAGAACTTCTTCATCACGATCCAATCTAGGTCTTCCAGCGCTGCTCCTATTGGATGGCATACGACCCTCCGAAAACGCTTGATGCACATTAATAAACACTCGATAATCAGGATATCTTTGAGCATTTGGGTATCTTTCTGGATACAGTCTGCTAGCAGCGTTAGCATTACATCGGCATTCTCCATAGATTAAATGCATATTAGCGTATTCCTGTGGTGTGTTCGGTTGCGGCATGTTAAACGCCAAACAGTCCAAAATGCGCCAGAACTCTAAATCACAAAACACACAATCGTAGTCCAAGATAATGCCAGGTCAGTTCAGTTTGCAGATCACTTCCAGTCCAAATAATGCCAGGTCAGTTAAGTTTGCAGGTCGATTCCAATCCAAAAAGCCAAGCCAAAAGTCGATAGTATGTACGAGGGCCACGTAAGTTGAATTGGGTACGGTGCGCAGTAAACAAAGGAGCAGAGCGTACTGAACCGACTTGCTGAGAATAATAACAGCTTCTCTGCCTGCCCTGTTGTTGTCTCTTTTTAACGTAAATATCTCTATCTATCTATCTCTCTCTAACATCTAAGGTATTAATGCCCCATTCGAATTCCTAGAAATTGTAACAGGAACCCATTTTGGGCATGTAGTAAAAGTGATTACTGACAATTACAATTTAAGGAATTTGGCCCCTGTTAAGAAATAATAGGCCCATATTTTTTTATAACTTGTTTTCCTAGAGTATTATACCATTTTGGAATATTGGTTAGTTGCGTCAATTTTTAAAAAAATTGCCATACTAGTGTTCATACTTTTTTTTTACACCACGATAAGTTAAATTTGGTTAAAAGTAAAAGTCTTCAAAAAATTTAGGGAATAAAATAAGTTTCATTAATTTTCGTGATAAAACAAGAGTTATTCTGGAGTTTTTAAGAATTGTGGTAGATAGCAGTACTATTCAGGTTGCCTATAAAAAAAAAAGAAAAAAATATTTAAAAAATTGTGGTCATGGTAGTGAAAAATATCATAAACGGTCTCAATTTCTGAAGAATTTAATTTTTTTTATATAACTTAAAATATAATTGGGATATATTGTTTTTTCTTTTTTTACCCGATTAGTCCGGGGCAGGTCTATCCTCCGGTGTTGGCTTATCGTTGAATTTTGGGACACGTTGTATAAATGTGTTTGCATCTGGATTAACATTTCTACAATTTATAGCTCCTATACGTCCAAAAATTTTTCTAATGGGTCTTGGTTAAAATTCCTCGGATAATAATATTCTACATTACTATCCAAATAATAATTTGGAGACCCTTATAAAACTTTCAAGAGTTTTAATCCATCCTTGTTGGGATGCCACTCGCACAAGTCGAGGTTTTCCTGCTTTTGTACCATGTTTGCTACTGGTGTCTACAAAATTCGTATTTTTTATTTTATTAATAGCTTCAATCCAAAAAGTGTGATGTTGTGAATTTTGTTTAACTGTTAGTCTTAACTTTCCTCTTTGCACACAACTCGGGTAGCCATTGACGCTGTCAAACAGTGTGTCCAAGAATCCTCAACAAATTAACTCAACATCTTTCCAAGAGGCATTTTTTCCTTCCAAATTATATCTTTATTTAAAAATTATTCCTTAAACCCTTTAAGAGATGAGGTGGGTCAAAAATATGCTTAAATAGTGATCAGCAATATTAACTGATCCATCAGTAAAATAATTAAAATAAATAATATTTGTTATGAAGTACAACTAGTTTTTAAGTGATTAAGAATGGTACACACCATCATGAACACCTTGAATATTCCGCCTACGAATTGTATCTTCCCTAAGTCTTCTTATTGCTGTTCGAAGTGTGGACCCTTGATCACAAACAAGACCTAAAGGTATTAACCCAGTTAGTATTACTTGGGACACA